CATAATACTCATCTTATATAAGGACTAAATGAAATTAAAATAAAATTAATTAAAATGAAATAAATAATAATCAATAATGTCTCTTCACCAGTTTACAGTAATAATGTCTTTTTACCAGTTTATGGAAACAATATTTTCTTATCAGCTCATAGTAATAATATCTCTCTACCGGTTCATAACAATGATGATACCTCTTTATCAGTTCACGGAAATGACAGAAATGATGATTCTTTGTCAGCTTATATTATTTTTATTTTCATGAACTGACGAAGAATTTGGAAGAGGTACACTTTCAGCATCACTTTCAGCATCACTTTCAGCATCACTTTCACGATCTAACAAAGATGTGGTATCATTATTGTCTTGATCCGTTAAATGAGTAATATCATCATTTTCTTCTTCATGTCTTTGATTATTAGTTTAAAATTGAGATAATGATTCATTAGATAACTATTTTCGTAGATATACTATTAATATTTATCTATTTTTCATTAAGCGTACTTTATTGAAGCAGAGATTTTTTTTAATTTTTAACAGCTGCTCTACTTGTTTAATGCGTTAGATTTGTATGAGGAGAGCATCTTTCTGCTTTATGAATACAAAGTAAAATTTCTAATTATATAATATAATTAGAAATTTTACTTTGTATTTGCAAAGCAAGAAGATGCTCTCCTCATACAAATCCAATACATTAAACAAGTAGGGCAGCTGTTAAAAATCAAAAAAGATCTTTGCTTTTTATTGAAAGCTAAATCTACAGTAGAACTTGTAAAATTTTTTTGTTGCCTTGGAATAATTTTTTATGTTTTTTTTGAAGCTGAAAAACTTGTAGCCTGTTGGTTTTGTTTGCATTTTTGTGTTCTTTTGAAAGCTGAATTTACAGTTTTATTATCTGAAAAGTCATAAGCAAGATAATAGATTAGATAACATGATAGGAAAGAATTAAATATGTCTTACTAATATACTTGATTGCTTTTCGGCTATTTTTCCTTTTAGTACTTTTAATTCTGTTAAAAAAAGTCAAACAAATCGAAAATAATTTTAATAACTTTATTAACTTACCAAATGTTCATTTAGGCATATTAGATAACGTAAGATCTGTTATTTTATTTTGCCTTCTTTTCTTTTTTTCGTTTGATACTTGATTTTTTTGATGTACTTTACTTTTTTCTTTAGTGACCAAGTAAAAGATCGTGATCGAACTTATTTTACTTGTTATGCAATAATTATTACATAATAGATATTTTCTGCATTTGTCAAATAAACTATATCTATCTATCAAGATTTTACTATTTTAGTATATTATTATATGATCAATAAATTATTAGTTTTAATGGTCACAAGTCAGAGGTTGCTATTTGAAAGTCTATACAGTAGTAAGTATATAGAATGAAATTCTAGTTTAGGCTATCTGACTTTTGGAATTCTTAAGTAAGTTATTTAGCTTGTTATGATTAATTATTACACCAACACTAACCACAATCTTAATAATTCTTTATCTAAATAACCTGCTTGTGAATTACTAAAGTTGGGTAGCTTGATTCTGAGTTAAAGCAACTGGATTTAAATTTCATTCAGAGTACAATATATATCATCATATAGACTAGGTGCAAATAAAGTCTGTAATAGTTAATAGTAGTTATTTAAAAGTATATTGAATCACTAAAGATATATGACACTATAAATAAATAAAATAAAACCAATCAAATGATTTAGTTTCTTCTCTTTGGCTCTACTGTTAATATTTACTAATAATGAAACATTCAAACAGAACTATCTGTGCATATATATCAATGCTAAAATTACGGATTAAAGCAAAGAAAAAAAATATGAAGAAATTGAAGAAGCTTCAGTATTTGAAATTGAAGAAACTTCAATGTCTAATAAAACTTCGGGATATATGAATGCCGAAAGATTAGGTTTGCATTTTAAAGAAATTTTAAATGAAGCTGAGAATTTATCGACCTCTGGTTATACCTCATCGAACGAAATTAGTATATAGATTCCAAGCACTCTATAAAACGAACGTCCAGAAAAATGACTTAATTTATGAAACACTAATATACAAATTATTTTAATAAGCTTAGACAAACAATTGATTATGAGAATACCAACAATTACCAACCTTCGTATAAACTATTAGTTGAAGTTTTAGATGGCTTTGATATAGATACAATGTATGACATCATAGACTATGAACAATTACCTGACATTATAGATGCCTCAGTGGATAGTGAAGAATCTGATATTATAGAAGTTTCATTAAATGAAGCGCTAGAAAATAGTGATGAATCTGACCTTACTGACGTTGATATGTTAGAAGATATGACTTCTAATTTTAAAGATTTTAGTAACAAATCTGGGCTCTATTTTCAAAATTATACATCGGCATTGATCTTTATCTGGGTTACTAAACATATGATCTGTAAGTAATATTGATTGTGCTGGTTAAAAAATCGAATTACACCTTTGGATTCTTTTTTTTATCAATGCAAAAGAAATTTACTATATACAGAGATCAGCTAAAGTGAAGCGAATTCAATATATAATTTACATACTGTATAAGTTGCATTCTTGATATATATATAATATACTAACCCTAACTGTATCAAAAAAGTACCTCTAAACATCGCTACGATTTAACCGACTCGTAAATATGTACATACTAATACCAATTTCTTATAGCAACCTCTGCATATAAAGATCTCGTAAAAATTCTTAAATATTCTAAGTATAGAAATGAAGATATCCCTACAAACATCTGGCAGATTAGGAAATGGAAAAATAGGCTGCTTTTAGCTAAAATACTTCAACATAATGTACCTCTCTGTACGAAACGAACACCATCTACTTGCAAAACTACAAAATATGCATTTATTATTTCTTTATTAACGTATCTAAAACGTATTTTAAACAATCCAGTTCTGATGCCAAAAATGTATTTTGGTTCAGGGGTTGTTACAAATAAAAAACGAGAATTTTGGTATAGCGAATTGTAACAGGATTCACTATTATTCGAAGAATACCAAATGAATAATAACAAAGGTAAATAATATTTATTTACTTATTTATTTATTTATTTAATTTTTAATTTTTAATTTTTAAACAATAAGTAAGAATAATTTGTTTTTTATCAGAATTCTATAAAGCCGGTGACTTTTTAATATATTATAAATAATCATCAATATCTATTTGCCAAGTACGTAGTATAGTGGTCGATGAGACAAATAACGGTTCACTCAAGCTAAAGGTTAATCACATCCTCTTGTATAAAGACCTTTCTAATATCTGCCCTAATGACAATTGCTATAAACGAGGCAACGGCAAGAAATTATGGTTAACTGAAGAGACAAATTTAGTTAATCTGGCAAATATAAAATGACGTATTAATGTTTGGTTATGTGATATACCAGAATCTTTAGAATATGAATTTTATATTAAAGAAATTGTATATCGTTTTAACAGTAGATGGAAGTATCGTAAAATAAAAATGAGACATTGGCTACCTTATGAAAATTTTATACTTACACCATCACTCTAACACTTGCCTACCTTAAAGATATTCCTCGATATTTACATAGATGATTTTAGTACTTACAGAAATATATACTATTCATTGGGCGGTATTTACCTACAGTTTGGCAATATGCCGTTAGATCTTCAGAAACAATTAAAAAATCATTTTTTAATTGGTTTTGTTCTATTTGAAGCAAGTTTTAATGATTTTATTAAACCTGTGCTTCAAAAAATCAAAAGATTAGAAAATGGTCTTGTTATTGAAACTTTAATTAAAGATGCATGGGTTGTAGGTAGAGTCGGATATATCACTGCTGATCTGCCACAAGGAAATAACCTGGCAGGTATAAAGCGGCACAGTGCTAATCATGGATACTGTACATGCAATGTATCAAATAATCAATATACTAATTTAAATTATAATTATATACAAAATACACGCTTTTACCAACAGAAAAAAAATGGCTTGCAGAGATTGAAAGTTAACATTCAAAGGTAGATAAGGAACGGCTAGTAGTTAAATATAGGTTAGCAATGCCAGGACCTTTAAGGATACTTAAGTGGGACCAGCATATCCAATCACCACAAGATACATATCATTCTATAGCTAGAAAAGCACGTATCTTTTTAGAAGCAATATTTAATGCGTTGACTCTAAATGGTAAAAATGCTTTTTTAAAATATTGGAAATATATAGAAAAACTGGCCAATTGGTATTGAATGCCCAATCTACTATAACATTGTCAAAGTTTCATGTTTTCTGATATGTTGAGGTTTGCAATATTAATGTTATTTATACTTCAAAGATCTTTAAAGCCTCAACACATCAAAAAAGAAAATTTAAATAATTGGCATACAAGACAAAGCTTAGCTGTATCTAAATTATGTAGATGTTAGGCAGTTGAAGCAAAAGTACTAAAACTTGCATTCTTACTTACAATGACAAAAATCATTATAAAGAATTGCAAGAGGCACTTGAAAGTGAACATGAAATGTTGATAGAGGCAAGTGATTAATTTCAAGTTGATAACAAAATTTAACTGCACGTGATTAGAATAACCGAATTAATAGCATAGTTTATACTTTCACGAGAATTTTTTTCTTTTTTTTTTTTGTTAAAAATAAAAGACGGTTTTATAAGATATTGGTTTTTTTTTTTTTAAAAAAAGTGTGATTCTCATATTGCATCTAATTTGTTAGATTATTGATCAATAATTACATGGCTACCAGAATTTCGTTTAACAATTTCCTTCTATTGAGGATACCTTATTTTATGCTCAATTAAATTTTATTTATTTATTTATTTGATTCTAATTTTTTTTTAATCTATAAGGTAAGGTCAGATATTATGACATATCTAAAAAGTGCTAATAGTAAAAGTCCTCAAGAAAATACATTTTTCCTAAAGTTTATTAAACTAAACTAATATTCGATATAATTTTTATTGACAAGTTAAAAAAAATTTAAAAATTAAAAATAAAACTTCAAAAAGCTATCTAAAAACCTATGCCTTTTTTTTGTTGGGGGTATTTTGACATACTATATATACCTCAGTGTTAATTATCTAAATTTAGCAAAATCTTATTTACACTAGCTCTTTTTGTACTTTCGATTTTGCTGATCTTTCCCCCTAAAATTGCTCAAATAGGAAAAAAAGAGGAAATAATGTAAGAACTACACTAACCTTCCCTCAAGTCTTGATCAGAATTAATTAATTTTTGTATCATTTGATTCATATCAGTAAAACGAATCGAATAGTACTAAAATTGTTTGATTTTAACCACTGTATCACAATATATCATCAAAAAACACAAGTGTGTCAAAATACCTCCTGCATCATAATACCTGACCCTACCTTATTTTTTTAATCTATTAAATCAAGTTATCATAATAAAAATTTGTCCATTAATACTATTATAGATTTAACTAATCAAATTCATTTTTATTAGTTATTTCCAAATAACTTCACGAATCTACCAAACTTGCATGTAAATATTCATCTTCTACAGCATACTCAGAACTTCGCAATACTCATAAATACTGCTGTCAGAATAAAAAAAATGATGCATCGAATATTTAAAAATATGATATTGTATATGAACTGTAAGGTGATAGAATTGGATCTTATCTGACAGTACAACACAATACTAGCATTACGACATCTCATCGATGGTTAGATAGATCCTCGCTTTGATACAAGACCAATGTAATAAATGAACTTGCTATAGACCTAAATATTAGTATAGTGCTATCTAACTAGTATGCTATAGAAGGTCTGTCTATGTTTATGAATAACTAAAATGTTGAAGGTGATGACAAGTATTATTTTAACTAGTACTTATTACTGTATGCTATATTATATTATTGATTTATATTTTATTTATTGATTATTATTTATTTCATTTTAATTAATTTTATTTTAATTTCATTTAGTCCTTATATAAGATGAGTATTATG